CTGAATTACACAGAGCCTGCCAAGTCATGTGAAATGGACAGCTACAGAACAACAGGGGGGCAGCTGACAGCATTAGAAAGGTCACTCTTGAAAAGAGATACGTGTTTGGATCCAATTTGACATGGCTTCATCTCGAAGCAAGGCAGCGCAGGTGTTTTTATGTAAAAGCAAATGTCCATGGCCTGATTGATCAAAGGTTTGCAGATGAAAACCAGTCCCTTGAACTTCTTCCAGAACCCATCAGCTCTTGAATATTCAGATGATAGTGCACAAATTTCAGTGTAAGTAATATGTAATGGGAAAGGCACCCCAGAGAGAGCCCAAGCACCCCAGCACTATTCTCCCTGCATGGCAAATGGAGAATTGTATTCTGCTTGAGCTGCAGGTCATGTCATGGCTTGCAGAGCATGTTCAAGTAACCCGTTATCACAGCAACAAAGGATGACTTTGGAGAGCTTCAGACCGACGGTTACCAAACCTCTCTTCCAGATCCTTGTATCCCAATGTCTTTGACCGGTCTGGACTGAATCCTTGCTACCTAATTCAAAGTCAGCTAGGAGACTGCAAATTCTTTCTACTGACCCACCTGGGTCCCAAGCCTCATTGGAGGACCCCCAGCACATACAAGTGGCAGCCCCCTGAGTGACCCAGCAAGTGCCTTCTCAGAGCTGGTGAACCAGGCATGTAAGACTATGTCTCACAACGTGCCTGAAGAACCAGCGGTCCCACGCAGTTCCTCTGCTTTGAATGCCTGTGAACTGGACTGCTTGAAATTCTTCTAAATAATACATTTTTATATATTTTTGCATGTTTTTTTACACCAAGTAATTTTATCAGATTTCCACCCTTCTGCTTTGGGCAGACTGAGGGAATATGTGCAGTTTACATTTTCCTGTTGACACTTAGGACATAATTATTAAAGCAACAAGAAGCATATTCAGATCTGCACATCGGGTGAGAAGTATCAGAGGAATCTGAAGACGTGACGGGCACCATAACAGCTGCTTCACAGAACCTAAATCCTGGTCACTGCTTCATAAGCTCATCAGTAGCAACAGATGGACTCTTGACCCGTCACTTCAAGATAGAATCATAGAATCATTAAGGTTGGAAAAGACCTCTAAGATCATCGAGTCCAACCGTCAACCCAACACCACCATGCCCACTAAACCATGTCCCTAAGCGCCTCATCTACACGTCTTTTAAATACCTCCAGGGATGGGGACTCAACCACTTCCCTGGGCAGCCTGGTCCAATGTTTAACCACTCTTTCAGTAAAGAAGTTTTTCCTCACGTCCAATCTAAACCTCCCCTGGCACAACTTGAGGCCATTTCCTCTCATCCTATCGCCAGTTACTTGGGAGAAGAGACCG